GGTGAAAGTTGATGTATTCCCTCAGCGACCAGCACGGATCAGCTCTAGGCATGACGAAGCGGATATTGTCCCCTTTTGGAAGACCAAACAAAGTAGTTTCGCTTTCACAACGAAGCACACAGCGTCTTCACAACATGGCTGCAGCGTCAACAAAACTACACTGAGACTAAAAGCCACGCCGCCTTTCTTTGCGTGAACTTTTGGGCGGCGTTATGCAAATCTTCCCACATAGTGACGTAGACATGTGGGGGCGTGTTAGAACGAGGCGTTTTAGGTAGGCGTGGCTGACTCTTAACTTTTATAAAGAATATCTCTTTGGATTTGAGACTTTAGTCTTTGCAACTTTACAGATCTTCTTTATGCACCAAGAGCTTGTAACACTCCAAAGAGAAAGGAACAATTGAAATCGCATCATATGACCCCTTTAATGTAGTTTTATACGACATTGCATCATTACACTGAATTTTAAGCAGACGCAGAGCAGCATTAACTGCTGTGTAAAGACTCTAGACAGCCTGGTAATAGAAGAGCTTTCACCTGTTTAAATGTGAGGTGCTGTTTCTTCAGCTCCCGATAAGAGCTTTTATTGCCAAGATGTTGGAGAACAGCTGCTGCTCTCTACCCTTGAACTCTAACAAGCATGAAGGATGTTGCCTTCATATTCACAACTACAGCACCTTTCCAGTAGCCCATTATCTCTGATGGATAATGGATGGTTTGAGCTTCTGTGTGGCAGACGCCAAGCAGATAATGTGCTAGTGTGAAATATGCAGTCTTGCTCACCGATCACTCTTGTTTTTTCCTGCAGGTGCGACACGGTAACAAACGCCGTCATGATGCAATACAGCCGTGATTTCAAGGGTCACCTGGCTTCACTTTTCCTCAATGAGAACATCAACCTGGGCAAGAAGTATGTATTCGACATTCGGCGGACCTCCAAGGAAGTGTACGACTACGCCAGGCGCGCACTGTACAACGCCGGTATCGTGGACATGATGTCGAGGCCGGGGGAGCGCACTCCGTCGTCCCGCTCGCCGTCCCCTTACCAGGAGGGGGCACTGGACTGCGGGGGCTGCCAGCAGAGCCGCTTGCTGCAGGAGAAGCTGCAGAAACTGCGGGAGGCGCTGCTGTGCATGCTGTGCTGCGAGGAAGAGATCGACGCCGCCTTCTGCCCCTGCGGTCACATGGTGTGCTGCCAGAACTGTGCTGAACAGCTGCAGGTCAGAGAACGTTTAGGATTCGGTAGATTCGGTAGTCTTGATATCATAATGAAAGAAAAGCAGCTTGGCATAATCTTTTAGTATTACTTCCTAAAAATATCTTAATTCTTAAAGTTTTGTTAAAATATATATTTTAAGAAGTAATTTTATCAAATTGAAGTCATGTTGTGCAACCACCTGTCAGAAATGAAACCACATCAAATATCAGAAATTGTGACCTTTTTATGACAGGCAAAGCTAGTTTCAAAGGTTTCAAAATTTCATGTGATGTGACTCCCCAAAAGCGTAATATCTTAATTTATGATAATTAATAAGTAATAATTAATATAATTGATTTATGAGTTAATTTATGATTTAAGAAAATAAATAAAATATTTTTTTGTAAATTTAAAAAATGTAGATTAATGATTAAGATGTCTGAATTCACGTGCAGTGTTTAGTATTATGTATTGTAGTATTTATTAATTATCTTTTATTTTTATACTTTCCAGTTTCCATTTTAATTTAGTTTCCTTTAAATATTTTTTTCACTTTAATTTCTTTTTATTTCCGTTTTAGTCATTATAGTATTTCAATGTAATTGTCAAGGCAACATTTCTAAACATTTTTATAAGTTTGTTTTTCATGTAATATTTATATTTTATGTTATTTCAATTTCTGATTCAACGTTTTTTTTTATATAGTTTTAGATTTAAACAAAAATGCTTTTTTGACATTTTTCAATTGGGTTATTACATTTAAACTTTCTTAAATTAAAATAAAATGTATTTATTTGTTGTACATTTAATACAATGTTTAGATATGAAATAACTATGTAATGATGCTTAGTTTTGCATAATCCAATGAATTAAATACATTGACTATATTCTCTTTTAATTGATAATTTTATGGAAATAAACCAAAAGATTTATTCATAATAAACTGACATAAGTACAAAATGACTTGAGCTGGAAATATATAAAGCTCATTCCAATAAACAAGTAAACTCTGCATCATATCACAGGCCTTATAGACTTGTTTGAGATGTGTTCTTTTAGCACGCTTCTTTATCACGCTCGCGTTTAAATAACATAAAACTACTAATTGCTGTGCAAATACATCTAGCGTGATATAAGCAGTAAGAAAAATCTCTTCTGTTGACACTTGTGTTGAAGCACACCATATGCTTCCCAGCCTTAATTGCGACTATCTACCACATGACTGTTATTTTTGCAGGCAGTATCACAGTATTCCTAGCATGTTACTGTGTTGAATGCTGCTGACTGATGAAGTCTCTTGTTGTCTCTGTACAGTCATGCCCAGTGTGTCGTTCAGAGGTTGAACATGTCCAGCACGTCTACTTGCCTACGTGCACCAGTCTGCTCAACCTGACCATCGGCAGCGGCGGCGACAACAGCCCCGAACCCATCCACCGAGGCATGGCCTCCCACACCTGCACTACCAACGACTACAACGCCACTGAGAAGATCTACCAAAACTAAGCTTGCCTGCCTCTCTTCCACAGGACTTTGAGTTCAGTTAACACGGTGAACGACTGCGAGTCAGAGCGCCGCGCCGGTTGGGTTGCTCTCCAATGGTTTCAAAAACATCAATTCTTTAAGGAGCTCTTTTGTTGTTTATGAATGTTTGTCTCTTAAAATAATTGTCAGTTGATCTGATAAATGTACTTTTGAGTGTGTTTTTTTTTTTTTCAGAGCACAAAACTCTGCGGTCAAAAGTCTCTGAGTCATCAGGCACTAGAGAATTCAGGTTTGATCGATGGTAAAGATCAGATATTATAAGCAGATATTATGTTGTATTCAAGCTGTATTAAACATATTGCTGTTTATATGCATTGCAGACTAAATTATTATCTTAGACATCTTTACTTTTCATTCAGCCCTTTCTTTGTGAATCGGAGACTGTATGCATCACCGCATGTGTATATAGCATATATTCTGTGTTAAAGCTGATCTCTCTTTGTTTGCACGGTTTTGCCTAAGGGAAATTAGCTTTGACCCACAAGACCTGTGCGTATAGGCCACTGCCTAAACACTGCAAATCAGATCATGCGCCTCGTTCAGATTAAAAGGAAGTGTACAAATACATGTAGCAGTGTTTCGGAAGACATGTCGGTGTGCTTTACCTCTGTAAATGTGTGTAACAGCAGCACCTTACCAAATTCAGTTGAATTTGAGTTACAATGATGAACATATTTTCAATACTGCAAACAAAAACAATTTGCTTGATCTCAGACAGTCAAGATAAGTCAACGGCGTACCATTTCATCCTTTATTTATTGTGTGGATCTGGTGGGCGTGGTTGACTTCACTTTTATAAAGAATATCTCTTTGGATTTGAGACTTAAGTCTTTGCAACTTTACAGATCTTCTTTATGCACCAAGAGCTTGTAACACTCCAAAGAGAAAGGAAAAATTGAAATCGCATCATATGACCCCTTTAATGTAAAATAAAAAAAATTATTAAATCAGTCATCATATAAACTTATTTTTCAGAATACAAGATAACATGGGTCAAAAACCATGATAACTACAACTATTTTTTTTTTTTTTGGAGATGTGAGATGTCAATGAGATGTCTTTTCTTCTGCATTTCAATGTGAAATAAAAATGGAAAAGACATGATTTAGCTTCGAGGTGTAAGTGGAATTTATTTTGGAACTTAGACTCCACCAAAAGAAAATGATGTTGCTAGTTGTAAGATAACTGGACTGGTTGTGATTTGAAGTTGAGATTATGGGTGACATGTCCTTTAACTGCAAAAGAGAGAGCTAAAGCTATGATATCATCTTCCAGACAATTTCATTTATGAACCACGCAGGTCCCACCACACTCACTGAAGCACAGCCCATGTAATCACAGCAAATTAACCTAAAATAAAATGAGTCTCTGTACAGCAGTTGCTTTTCCCCCTATCTGTTTAGGTCATATAGCTACATCAAAGTGTCTACATGACAAGCTGTGATTGTAGATAATGAAAGCAAGTTATTATCAGATAGGAGTAAAAAGGATGCTGTAGATGTTAGTGAAGAGGCAGCCCAGCTCTATATGTACTGTGGAAAGCTTTTTGCTTTTGACAGTCTATGATTGTGTGTAATTGACTACAAAACTAATAATTGTGCCAATCTTATGCATTCTGTTATTCTCATTCATCATCAGATTGCCTTCTACTTCCATCAGTACTTACCTGTAGATCTGTAGATTCTATAAACAATATACAGAAAACAGCATTGTTTTTCTCATGTGCCCTCAAGTGTTTTACAGCACATTCCTGGAAATTTTCACTATAAAAAAATCAGAAAAGTATGTTATTCAAACGGTTTATAATGTCTGA